GTATCTTCTTTCTTATATTATATTAATTATCATGTTTATTATCTTTATCATTATCATCATTATCTACATCGTCATTGTCAATTTTATCGAATGTAGAATGATCTCACAATAATATCTTTGGTTAACTAAATAACCTTTTCGTACGCTTTTTTATTTGTTTTTACGTTTGTGATACTCAGCCCTTCATGTCCTTCTAATAGTTTTATAGCTACACGTTTTTACTATTTTAATTACATTTGAGCGCCATCTTCTGCCCGCTAGGGGATCTATTCAGACTTTGTTTACCAACCTAGAGGTTTGTTGCTATGTTGTTGCGATCTATGACACTGCGCTTTATGGCAACCCGCGCCATTGAAATTGGCGTTCTAAACACGCTGAAATTGAGCACTTTTGTAAATCCATTTACTTAATGAATAATTGTTAAAAAATTATTCTGTAAACGGATTTTGACTCAGGGGAAGCTGATCTACACGCTGGTCCCCGCTCTTCAAGTACTTAAGAATATCCCTGTATATACTTGGAGAGTAAATATACAGTATACCTAACAGTAAAATAACATAACCTAATACTAACGTATTTGAGTGTAGGTTTTAAGTAGACCTGGTACGGGAAAAATCCTTACCTAGCTATGACAAACACATAACTTCATGTGGTAGAGGATTTTTAGTGAGACAAAAGAAAGAAAATACCGTACCTAGCATTAATATAATCTTATTTGCAAGTAGAAGAAGACTTCACATGTCCAACATTTTCGAGCGTAGGTTTTAGACGGACCTGGTACGGGAAAAAACCTTACCAAGCTATTAAAAACTCGTAACTGAATGTAGTAGGGGATTTTCAATGAAAAAGGTCTTTCCGTGTGATATACATACATTAGCCGTGCTCCCTAGTTCCTACTAAGCCAGAAGCCATGCACAGCACATGTGTATGCGTGTGCATGTATACTTAGCTGCTTGTAGACGAATATGATATAGTATATCTACATATTTTGGCTAGCAGCAGCAGCGTAAGCGGTATTGGTAAATCTATGTAGGCGTGGTGGAAGAAGCGTTACGCTTCAAAAATTTTCACTGCCTACGCGGAGAGTCCAAGCCTTGTATAAAATGTTTTCGAATTAATACTAAAAAGACAAACCATCATTACTCATGCTTCTGGTTTTTGCCATGCATCGCGAAATACCTCACACGACCTCAGCTATCGAGACTGGGCGGAGAAAGAAGCTTGCAGTAGGTGTATCATAAACAATATCATCAAGTTCACTCAGATAAAATTTGCATGCAAACAGCTCACAGAAGAGTAATATTTATCAGCTGATGCATGATCAGATCTGCCAAGGGCGATGGGAAGCTTTTCACTACCACACCAAACCACCTAAGCACTTACTATAAATTCTACTGACAGGTCGTCATGCCCTCCACATTTAACACTTTAATACTCTCCAAACCAGAAGGCCAATAGCCAAATCCTGGGGAGACAGAGAGCGCGCGAGAGAGAGCGAGAGAGAGTGCGATAAAGAGATAAACAGACAAGAAAGACGTATGTGAGACTCCTGTATTTTTTTGTATGCACGATAGGTGTGATATACAGCAGCTGAGTCAATTGAGGAAACCAGGATCCGAAATCAAGCTAGATTTCGTGTAAGAAGAATACTATAATAATAATTGGTGTATAACAAACAGTGGTGTAAAACAGACAGCGACAGATAAGTTTGTTGAGTGCAACATAGAGAAAAAAATTAGGCTAGATTTGCCAGAAAATGAGATTTCTGAACAACTACTTCAATTTACAGAAATATTAAGTTAATTCTTACTCATGTAGAACGCACAAAGGGTCTACTAATACATGTATTACCTTACAGTGATGTAATACCAAGTTGCTGAGTTATGTATATTATCGTGTAAAAAAAGCAGATCCACAAGTTAAAGACGTTGCCTAGTAAATGTATTTTTTGGTAGGTAACTGCATTACTGATATCTTGAATGCAATAAATAAGAATAACCGAATACTAAACCCTATAGTGTGATTTGAAAATGGATTAAAACAGATTTTAATATTTGAATCTGTAAAAAGTATTACAACATGAGTAGAAACTTTGCACGATTACTCCTTAAATAATTTTTAACAGTCCTGTAAGTTGAAAGTGTGGACACAATATCTTGGTTTCAAGACTTGAGAAAAAAATGTTTTTGAAAAAAAAAATGAGGTATGATTTTATTAATGTACTACTTTAAAGAGGTATTACTTGTTTTTTCTATTTACTTCAACTCAATATAAAGCTTTCTATTTTGTAAGTAAAAGGAAATCACAAAAAAAAATTCAGAAATAGGAAATGTTTTCAACATTGAGAAACGAAATATATTTTGGAAACATAAACATATTCTACGTAGGTAAAAAAGTAGTTCAAACATATGTTGCAACAATTATTTACTTGAAAAGATAAAGTTATTAACAAAATTTAAAATGTGTGAAACCTTTAAACAGACTAATACATTACCTTCTGCGTAAGATTGATTTTTTCAATGAAACAAAAATATTACTAGTCCTAGTTTGTACATTATTAAAAAATGATGAAACAACTATTTTACATATGTTTAAATCTTTGTGCATACACGCAATGTATCAAGAAGTGTCTCACATGCTGGGTTAGTTATTTTTGATAGTTTTTATCTTATCAATTAAGCAAGTAATAAATAAAAAATTGCATACCAAGTATTTTTGCAAAGTATTTCCAAAGTTTGGGTATATCTATTATTAAATCTCCTGATTCTTCCAAGAGTTTTCCAAGACTGAAACATAGTCAATAATATTATACGTGTGAGTAGAACATTTTAGTACAACTTATTTCTAACGTATTAGTATTGTTAATATTTAATATTTCATGTAAAACAGTAGTTACGAACTAAATAATGAAAATTGCAAAACTAAGATAATACTGCATTGAACCAACTTTTCTAATTTTCTGTTATCTTATATTTACAAAACGCATCTTTTTAGAGCAATAAAGAGTCATAACCTCTTATACTTCTTGCTACTCGTAATGCATTATCAGAGCTAAAAAAGCTAAAAGTATCTATGTATGGTGTTATAATTTTTATTGTTAAATTGTTAAAGTTAAAGAAACAAATATTATACTTAAACGATAGAAAACTTTTCTCTAGACAAACTTTGTATGTAAGTTATGGGACAATGATCAACTTTATATTTTTCAGGTTTCTATGGCTTTGTAACTATAAAATATCCATTTCACGTATATTATATTTTCTTTGATAAATTGTATTTTTGAAATCCACGTATTTTTTTCTTTAAATTTTTTTCTGGGTTATAATGACAGCTCTTTGGCCTAGTGGCCAGAGCCACCCACTCACCACCTACGTGTGGAGATGTATTACCGCATTCCAACCCTTTTACTGATATCATTCCTAATCCATGGGCACAGTGTTAGTATCTCCGGTGAAGCACCTTACTAGTTAAGCTGACACTCTCAGCACCAATGGTGCATCGGGTCCACTTGCCAGTGTGTAGCCTTTCTTCATACGGGACTCCGTATTTCAGGACGTCTACTCCTCGCCGGTTAAGCCAGCGGGCATTGGATAATTAGCATCCCCGGAGAAGCCCCATGTTTCAGAGACCACTCCTCACCGGTAAGGCCGGCGATCCTTACCTCGCACATTGCATCCGCTAATCCCGATCTATAACCCTAACATTGTTTCGCATTCACCCAGGCCCGAAGACCTGTGGGGCAAGAAAAAAACCCTGGATTTTTTCTGACGGAAAATTTCACAGAAAAACCCGCCCCAAAACAGCCAGGGTTACATAGGAACTTATCCCGATGAAAACAGTTTTTTGAAAAAACCTGCATACACCGGGAATCGAACCCATGACCCTTAGAACAGCGTTGTATCAGTCAGAAGCACGCTTACCACTAAGCCAACTTTTTTTTTTGAATCCACGTATTTAGTACACAAAGTTTTGTTGTATAATTTAATCATAAATAAAATAGGAATAACTGTTTGCATTTCTTTTATTTATCATTTTGACCAGAAATATTTATTTTAGACAATAGAAATCATAATTTAAAGAATAAAAAAAACTTTAATAAGTATATATTTCAATAAATGACACAAAATCTCATATTATATTACGCAGCAAAAACTGCTTAACTGTGGAAGTTCAAAAGTTTAATACATACTTGTAAGCTCTGTAGTTTTAGTGTTGGCAGAATTATTTTATCCGGTAAAACTTTATTGATTTGAAAATATTAAATTATAGTTTAAAACGCAACTCATCAGATTAGAGTATTAATAATTACTTAATTTTAAAATAGTTAAAATATGGAGGCCACACAAGTAAGAACAGAATACGTAAAATACAGTCAATGAACACACATTGTATCTAATACGATGAACAAATAAATACGTTAATAATACTTTCAACATACATTTGTACTTGCAGTAATAAAAATCTCATTTCGAAGTTTTGAAAGTTAGGAAACATACTAACTAATCAATAATCCAAACAAATATCGTTACTTTTATTAGTATCATAAATAATAGAAACAGGAATTGGAAGAATTAAGAGACAATATAAGAATCCGTTATTTTATATTATTAATAATAAACACAGCTGCAGATTTTCAGTGTGGGTTTACTTTAAACCATCCGTAAAGTTGTAAGGTAAGGGTTAAAAAATATTGATGGTAAGCTTTAATTTCACATTTGTTATGAATCTTGTCCTTCATAAAACGTTAACATTCTTTATGAGAGACATTATGTAATACTTTTTTCTAATAAATAAGTTTTTATTAACAAATTATTATTTTAAACCAATTGGTTTACGAACATAATTTTTTTGAAATTCCTTGTCCGCCTGGACTCGCCATTCCATCATATTTCTTTTACTACACAAGTTTCGTAATTCACAATTTCAATCTTTGTTTAAGCAAATGTACGTAAAAATTTGATTATTTTAAAACTTTAAGGATTGAAATAACCCAATTATGTATGTAAAGACGTCTTTTGAGAGCTAAAACAGTTATCTTGAGTTATTAATACAGCTTAACTTAGGGACATAAGTTTTTCTTTCTTGCATTTTGTAAACTGACACTTTCAAGGTGAGCCACCCGTTTTGGCGTATAGTTAGCTGCAGCCCCTACGATGAACACATATCATTGGTAAATGGTTATTATTTGTGATTGCATGAAAATCAGTATTTCTTTGTAAGATATTTAATGCTATACATTATTAAATTTGAAAAGAGCATCTAAATGTCTAAGACCATATGTAAAATACGATTGAAGTCTTGAATTTATGTGTCATGATTTTATGTAAGTGTTATCAACTGCTCATAATAAAGAAAAGAAGAAGTTCAAAGAAAAAGTTTTAATAGACTGTTTGGTTAATTGTGTGTTGATGGACTAACAGTTGAAAAAAACTGACGTTTGTAACTGACAGCGAAAGAAAAAACATTATGCAAAAGAGTTGTATCGTTGTCTAATTTGAAAAACATGTTTGTGTATAAACCTTTATGCCTCTATTTTCTGTAGCTCTCCTTACCTTATCAATTCTTTAAGTTAATGGGGAGAGGAAAAGCACCTCAACCCTTCTTTGATCAGTTGTGATGCGGTCTTTACACAGGCTTCCTATGTATCCCGTGTGATGATACGCCTTTTATTAATGAAAAATTCGACATTGAAAAATTATTAAATGCAAAAAACGGACGTTAATAATAAAAAATATTCAATAGCAATACTTAGACTAATCTAAAAAAAAAAAAATCAGAAATCAGTGAGTGTTTGGGTGTCCAAGTACTGCTTGTTCTAAAATAACGTAGAAGATGTCATTAAATGTAGCTCAACTTAAACCATCACCTCATTCTCGAATTAAAAACTTTTAAGAGAATAAGACGCATAATAACTTATTCACAAAACGTCGCATAAATAAGCCAATAATAAAGAAAAAATAAAAATAACGTAAGCCTTTACTTACTAAATTTTGATACATTACTTCATTTCTACTTTAATTTTCTTGTCAGCTATCGACTTATACTTGAATACAAACAATACTCTTGAGACTGTGTTACATTTAAACTTTAGAAAGATTTATACAATATATCATCTGGTAAGCTTTTACAGTTGAACACAATAATTTTACGTAGTTTCAGGTTCAACACAAGCTTGAACATTTAAGTTCACCCACTTATACGTATAAGTTCTTTAATGATGACACTTAATGAATGCATTGAAAAAACAAAAAAAGCATTAATACATTGTGTCAAAAAACATAAGAGCATGTCTAAGAAAGACTTGATAGTATCTGAACACATTTTTAATATATTTCATAGTTTTGATGGGAATTTACTTAAAATCGATAACAAATAGTCAAATTAAAAAAAAAAAGATATTTAAAATGGTAAACATAAATCTGACTAACAACAATGTAAATATAAAAGAGAACTAAGAGCCGTTCGGTAAATTTTATTCACTTATGTGGGAAAATTTACAAGATATTAACAAGTATTAAATCATTGACTGTTACGTTTATGTGAGGCACGCAAGCGCACTAGAAACAAAGATAACGTTTTATCGATTTGCTGTACACACGATCTAGCCGATATGAGTAATTTCTATTTTTAATGTATTTTGCGTCGATTTCTGGGTAGTTATTTATTTTTTACATGTATAAGTTTTTTTTTTTTTGAGAGTTTGGCACGTACCATGGTAGAGAGCACATTGTGGCTCACAGTGATAGGGCAGTACATATCATAAAAAAGGGTGAAACAAAACACAAATAAAACAAAGAGAAATTACAAAGCACAAGGAAGCTCAGAAAATAAAAGCAACCATAAATAAGGAGCAAAAACTGAAAGTAGAGGATCAAGAGAACAGATAGTACTTCAAACTTCAAATTGAATGAATAGTGCAAAGCCCAGGTAGTGGATCAGCCTAAGCTATTCGACCTCGAGAACTTCAAGCTTGAGGGAAGCAGTGTAAAACAGAGAGAAGAAATGGATAAAGCGGCAAGGGACAAGCTAACCAAGACTCTCACGGAAAAAAAAAGAGGAATTAGAAAATGTTAACAAAACGATAAGAAGCGTTAAGAAGGACAAGCAAAAAAAGAAAGATGATATCAAAGAACTAAGAAACAAGTGCAAGGAAAGACTGAAAAAGACACAAATACAACAAAAGGAGGACAAGGTGGAATGGATGATACACAAAAAATAGATTTAACAGTTAAAAGACTGGAAGAGGAGAAGAAAAAGAGAGACAGAGACGGTAAAAAATCTGTTATAGTCATTAAAAGTCTGAAAATTAGGAAAGGAAAATCATTAAAGAACGTAGAAAAGCAGTTGAGCCATCAGCTAAGCATAGAAATGCAAGGCTTGAAGCTACAATCATCGGATACAGAAGAAAAGAAGCAGATAGAAAAATAATCTTTGTGAAACCACAAGACTGGGAAACCAAAAGACAAGTGATGCAAAATAAAAAAAACTTAGTAAGAGGTGTGTATATAAAAAACAATCTAATCAAAAAAGAGTGGATCACGCAGATGAAAGCCAGATAATGCACCAGAAAGAGGGGAGAGAAGGGTAAGGTAACGAGAGTTAGATACCATAAAATGTCAATTGATAACAGATAGCACCACTGGAACAAGTTGTGTAGGGTCTTCACCCCTCTATGTGTATAGTTAACCGTCGGCTGAGAGAGAGTAGACGCCGAGCTCAAGCTCTACACCAGCTAGTACTAAGGTAAAGGTACCACTTTGGAACGGTTTTTGGCAAGTGTTTTCTT